TAAACAGATCATGATTTTATTAGTATTAATAAAATACAATAGTTAATTTCTGAGAAATAAGGGGGTGTCACTTTAGGAGACCTGCCAAATATCCACAGTAAACGGATAGACTCCGTATACATGTAGAAACAGACAAATCCTTTATGTGCAGTTGATACTAGAGACAAATAAGTATTGAATGCTTCTACCGCGAGTAGAATCAAACAGAATCGGATGTACAGTCTGCCTGTACATACGAACAGAAACAACTAAGTGACTTTTTAGTAGTTTTTATCGTATAATGCGAGGTCAAATATTCCACAGTAAACGGATAGATTCTGGATACATGTAGAAACAGACAAATCCTTTATGTGCAGTTGGTACTAGAGACAAATAAGTATTGAATTCTTCTACCGCGAGTAGAACCAAACAGAATCGGATGTACAGTCTGCCTGTACATACGAACAGAAACAACTAAGTGATTTTTTAGTAGTTTCTATCATATAATGCAGAGACAAATATCCACATTAAACAAATAGGTTATTTTCTATATGCTTCTGTTTGACATTTTTAGTAGGGATGTCAGTATCAGCAACTTTCCTCTATAAATATGTATAAACATATATATACACATGTATAAATATTTATAAATATATATAATTATGTATGAAATGTGTTCATACATGTTTATACATCTTTCTTCCATTTGTAAAATTACTTTTTAGTATGCTAAAAATAATAATAATGAGAAAACATGAATAATTAAAAAGAAAATTTTCGCATTGCTTATTTTAGAAAAAATTAAATTTGGAGACATATAAAAGAATTGCTCATATATATATAATTATATGTAAAATTATACATAGTTATGTATGAGCAAATTTTTTTACATTTTTTCAAACTTGATTTTTTCTAAAACAAACAATGCGACAATTGTCCCATTAACTATTTTTGATGCTTTCTCAATATATTATTATTTTTAGTACACTAAAAAATAATTTTAAAAGAAAGAAAAATGTATGCGGCATATTTCATATATAATTATGCATGTTTATGAATATTTATATGTACATATTGGGTATGGGAATAAGTTTCCGCTCTTTTTGAAAAGAAAAAGATGTGTTTATTTAAACAAATCTATATAAGTAAGTTTATTCAAGTATGCTCCTTCGGAAGCGACAACTTTCTCCCACTTTTCCGGTAATAAATGGATTCCTCGAATGTGTTACGTCCAGACTCCACTGTTCTTTTCTTCGAACCTTCGTCATCACCATAAGGGTCATTAACAAGTAAGACCAGTAGACCAACTGTATTTGTCATAGGAAGTTTCGATAGCTGCGAGCCGATTAACGTTCGCCCATTTTTTTTATCCACTCGGGCACAGTCGTTAAGGATTATAACCGAAACAGCGGTTGTCCTTAATATATGACAAGTATGGCTCTATGACTATGGAACATCCGGCAACTGGTCGATGACGAAGAATCATCTAAGACACATATCCCAGTATCCCTTTTCACAACC